TTAATTTGCTTCTCCCCCTTGGTAATCGGGTCTCCTTGAGTATCTTTTACTGGTTGCATCATATGGGTTGGTCTTTTTCCGGATAGAGACCTAGTTATTTGATGTAATGTCCTGATGTCTCCTTTACTTGCAGCCTACCTGTTCTGCTTCAGTTGCCAGTGTGTCGTAGAATTGTCTTCTTCTTTCCTGGCCTTCTTCCTCACTTTTTCATTCAGTGCGGTGTACATTGAACTCAGCTTCTCTTTCTCTTAGCCATTTTTGCGTTGAGTTATATTCCCTTTTACCATCCTACTCTCCTCGATTAGCTTCCAGGTAGGTGTCCGTTGAAAACCATTCCTTGTCTTGTCTTCTCCTTCTTCCTAGAACAGTTGTATACGTCTCCTTAAATATCGCTATCAGAAAGTTCCAATGTTCTTCTACATATTTTTCCTCAGCATGCCACGTAGCGAAGGCATCCCTCGTAGTTTTGCCCTTCAATATCTGAATGTTGACCTTGAACTACAGTGGTCTATCTCGATTTGTTTTCATGGATTTCAGCTACACCTTGAAGGCTCCCTGAACTAGATGATGGTCTGAGCTTACACCTGCTCCTCCTCTCGACTTTGCATCCAGCAGGCTGCGTCTCCACTTCCTTGAGATTGATATGAAATCTATCTGGTTTGCAGTGTGTCTGTCAGGATAAATCCAATTTGCTTTGTGTATATCCTTGTGTCTGTACACGCTCCCTCCGATAACCAAATCGTTGAAAGAGCAGAAGTCTGTGAATAAGTCTCCGTTCTCATTCATTTCGCCAAGCGAGAGACTGTCGACACATGACCAGTTCTCTTCCTGGATTATCTGCTCCCAGTTTGTCCTGCATTCATACCGCCCATGAGAATTTTGATGTCACCAACTGGGATTGTCAATGGACGTGAATACTGAACGTTTGTTTTATTGGAACTGGCAACCATTGGCGGGCAGTTGAAGGCGCGAATGGAACGATCGCTTGCAAGTTGAAAGAAGACGAATAAAAGTACTTTATAACTTCATTTGTACTTAACATTTGTTTGCAGAATTTGTAGTTTTCTTCACTTTAATTGCCAAACAATATAATTTCGTTCAAGGAATACTGGTGTTTTGGATTTAAAGTTGGAAAACGTACATAGTATTTATCGGTTCAATCGCTTAAGTCTTCATTACGATAGGAACTTAGGGCTAAGTTCCTTGACAGGGATGTTGTCCACTACTGTTTGTAGTTGTCTGTAAAATCCTCCTTTTCTTGTTCCGCGTTATCTGTAGGTGCATAATATTGGATAATTGTTACCTCCCGTCCTTTGGAGTTGAATCTTTCAGTCATGATCCTGGATGAGGGGATTGGTTCCCACTGCACTGGGGATTTGGCTGCCACTGCTGAAATCATGAAAGCCACTCCCTCAGAGTGTCCGTCACTGTCGTCTGTGTGACCGAGGTGGATTATTAACTCTGCCGATGACAATGTTGTCAATCCACATCCATTCCATCTGGTTCCGCAGATACCCAGTAATTCTAAGCCGTATATTCGCATCACTGGCCAACTGGGCAGACTTTCCTGCCAGCCTCGTACGTTGTACGGAAATTCCACGTCCCCATTCTTATTTCTGCCTTCATGGGAAGAAGACACATCGGCTGACTGACTGATCTCCCGAAGGCTTTCACCAGCCCACTGTGTCATTTCGCCTCTCCGATTACAGCGAAGAATAAGATTATTGTAATTTGAAGTTTTAGCATTTTTAATATATTTTGTGTGTGTCGAAGTTTATCTAGCAGTTTGATAGGTTTAATGTTATGGAGATGCTAGCCCCACGCCCAACCGTCCATCCTTTCCCCGGCTTATGAACGGCTAGAAAACTAGCAAGCTTAAATAGGCGAGGTTTGGTGAGCCCATTTAACCTAAAATACGCAACACGCCCTGTAGTGAAGGAAAGCTTTTGTATATGATTTGATAAGGTGCCACCGCACTTCAACCGACTTTAGTTTCAGTCAATTTATATACCACAGCCGCGATCAAACTGACAACTATTTATGTTTTAGTGCCCTTCTAAAATTCATAAAATGGTTATTGACCTACTTTGGAGACATGTGAATCATGCAGTTGACATCTCAGTTAATGAAGCATCATTAAATCAGTTATCAATTCCACGCGCGTGCCTTAATATCTACGCCAGACCTCAAGGTAACTGACCAAATTTTCTTCTTACAATGAGAGACGGAACTCCGACAATTTAATGAAGACCGTCAAGAAATATTATACAAGATGAACAAAGTGAGTAGTTCACGGAAGAAGCTCTCTTCAGTGGGTTTGCTTTCTTAGCTGTAGAATGGTGCATATATAAATTTTTTTGGGAAAAGTGGAGAGGGACAAAAGTGATAAGTTTTCATAATCATAATCTTAAATTTATGTCATTGCACGAGGTTTTGATAGGGAAATAAGAGTTACGAAATAGAATGAATAACCTAATGAATGAATAGTAACCTGGATGTAGAAAAAACGGAGTAAAATGTTGTGTCACGTGGAGTGGCTCAATTGCATGTCCCCACTAATCGTGGCATCAATGTCCATCGCTATCGTGATTTAGCAACAAGAAATGTTTTTATATGCTTCTTGAATGAAATTTTGCATCAGAACATTTTTCTGACGAATATAACATCGGTGGCATAATGCACCTGAACTGCGTTACGTTTGCCACAGTTGTACCGAGAAATATCACTTGATACTGATATTTGCGCGTGAGTTTTCGAAAGAAATTCAAAAGTTATACAAAGATGAGAGACAAGCAAGCGAAATCGAGACGGTAGAAACCAACTAGGCTTCTGTTATGATAGAGGAAAAAGGGGTGAATAGTTTCCCCGCATTCAGAGCTTTACCCTCACTATCTGAATGACTAGAGATTCTAAAATGCGGACGAGATGAAGGCATTCATTATGACGTCTCATATTGCTCTGAAGTTGTACTTTATTGACCACTATGCATTTTGTGTTAATTAGACTGTTGTACATTGTTGTCGGTGGCATGCCATTTTTGAGTTCAAGTACTGTAACCTAATATTCGAAGGTCTGTTCTTTTTTTATCTGACAAATTTCGTTTAATAGAGCGATAAAATTGCAGATCTTCTGTTGTCAATATAATTCTATTTGGAACCATTTGGTTTTGGTTTGGATTTCGTCGAGTTTATTTGGAATGCTGGTTTGATTTTGGTCGGAAACTGTAAGTCTATCCGCCCAGAGATCACTTATGCAGTGCCTGCAACAGGCAGGTTGTTCCTCTCTTCGCAGATTAGTATGACGGGGGAGTTTCTTGAGATAGAATGACGAATGTTGACCAGACGCTCAGTCACCACACTACTTAGAGAGATAGTATGCGGACTGTTCAGGGAATATTTCCACTGCTGAAAGTCACCTCTCTAAATCTTAGAACTAATTTTATGCAAATTGTAACCAAGAGAATAAGAGACAAGTGGATAAGTCGAGGATATGTAAATCGACCATCAGTAAAGCAACTCAGAAGACTTAATAATTAATCGGCCTGGTAACTATGATCTTCAATCTGATATAATAGTCTTAGCTAAACTTGACAGACACGCACGGCTGACATCTACAGGGCGACCTGCAATGCTGCACAATATAAATTCTTTTGTTGGTTAGCTGGATAAAACGCCTACTTTAAAAATTTCATAAATGATAATGTTCTGGACGAGTCTTTCGCATACTTGCCGAGATTTCTTAACCAAACTGTAGATCACTTATCATGCATTATCTTATTGAAACATATCATCTAAAGACTTATGAATTTCGACTTCTGGCAACTCATAGTGCATATGTATATAGCGCAGCTATTAGCCATTATCCTGGGCGTTAAAATTTACTCCCAGGTTTCCTGGTGATATCGACTCGTGATCAAACCTGTAAGAAATCAAATTTCCGCAAACCAAAACATGAGAGGATGCATAAGCAATTCCAACAGTGAACCTATTGGCCATCAAGTATGCAAGAGGGAGTCAAGATGGAGTAATGTCACAGCGAGAAGATATTTGCATGACACCACATTTCAGGCAGTCCACTGGGACTAAAATGGGAAGTGACGACTAAGGAATAGGTCACAGGGTGACACTGGAAGATTATGCAAAGAGAAAATAAGACTTATGATCATTCGTAGAGGCCGTTGAAAATATTGGCAGAGGACGCAGTGAAATGTGGATGGGTCGTTGAAGCCCCGTGTTCTACGGAAGCACCGAAATGGTTAGGAAAACAGTCATGGACTAAATTGATTACCACGCACAATATGGTCAAACACACGTGCTGATTACGTTATTAATAGTACCACTGCCAATCAAGCAATAGAGTGAAACTACATGGCGTAATCGCCTGGTGAGGGAAAAATGCAGATTGTACACATGAAGTGGTGAGATCACTTTATTCATCATCTTGTCGGTTTATCGACGCAGTCACTTTCACGTGAATATCTAGAGTAACATCTCAGCGGATTTTTCCCATACTGGTTATTCTGATGCACGCACTCCAGGACTGGCGGTCACGAAAAGAATAACGCAATCACAAGCTAAGCTAGCGCTTAGACATTGAGGAGACGATAGTCTACATGGGTGTTCCATTTGTGGTCACTTTTAAGAATAATGGTACTCTAGGCATCTTCTGTAGCTAGGGATGGATTTAGCTATCACTGATGTATAGCCCTCTTCACATTTTGTGGAAATACTGAGAGACACACACTAGTTTCATGTAGGGATATCGGTGACACTTCTACAACAACAAACGAGATAAGCTACTCCCGTAATGACTTTAAACAACCTCTTAGAATGGCGTCTTGATAAGTGAGCGTTATGTGGTTCACCGTTGTTAGCACTATATACTTCAGCAAACAGAAAAATGAAATTCACTATTGCAGGATATCACCAAAGAAAAATATATTATATCGATAATGACCTTGTCGACCAGCCTGAATGTATCAACGTCAAAGGCGGTAAATCAAATCATTCTGGAGGTATGAAGACCATTGAATATTTTGTGAATAATGCACAAGTGGGTTATAAAACGATCAGTGAAATAAACAGCCACTCAGAGAGAATACTGCATAGACTCTACAGGGCAATGTTTTTATCATTGTGGAGTCATTATCAACACCAGTCATTCAAGAACTAGTTCTACTAGACCCAAGCTTACAATAATGCTGAATTAAATCTCAGTAATTCTGAAATAATTCTTGCATCCTATAGTGAGTAAATTCTGAATCTGTTTTGAAATGGTTTGTTTAATGGCACAGACTAGAACTCAGTGCTGGTTTTCAGCATGACTAGAACGAATTCAGCACCGTGTTCTTTTTCTAGGCATTTTCAGGAGTAGATCAGAACATACTGGGTTTCCTTATCAGCGTTGTTCCAGCCATTACAGGACATATTAAGCACTGACTAGCATTACTTCAGAACGAAAAGACCTAATTCAGCACATAGTGGCAATTTTTTCAGCTTAATTCTAGCCTTCTCAGCACATATTCAGAACTGACTAGCATTACTTCAGAACGAAAAGACCTAATTCAGCACATAGTGGCAATTTTTTCAGCTTAATTCTAGCCTTCTCAGCACATATTCAGAACTGACTAGCATTACTTCAGAACGAAAAGACCTAATTCAGCACATAGTGGCAATTTTTTCAGCTTAATTCTAGCCTTCTCAGCACATATTCAGAACTGACTAGCATTACTTCAGAACGAAAAGACCTAATTCAGCACATAGTGGCAATTTTTTCAGCTTAATTCTAGCCTTCTCAGCACATATTCAGCACATATTTAGGCATGCAGTGCTTATTTTCAGCATTGAAGGCATTATTTCAGATGCTGATCTTCTTTTTTAAGATTTTGTCGCATTAATTCAGCACCCAGCTCTCTTTTTAAGCACGACCAGCGTTATTTAAGAACATAGTGGGTAGAAAAAATTTTCATTTACCATAAAAAGGCATTATCGACGCATAGGTTAGAATAAGTTTAGAATTGTTGTAAGCTTGGGGATGTCCTTTGGGATATTCACACAGACAGTTTGGCTAGATATCATCAAATTAGGAGTAGAAATATAAATGGATCTCAGCGAGAAGTGACTTATAGCCACCCGGAAGATATATGTACAGAACATTTGTTTTGTATGCAATGAATTATCAAGTGAAAACTGAGAAACATTTTTTCACTTGTTAGGGAATCATCCTGTGTGGTGTTATGTTTTATATACTTCTAAATTACAGCATTAACAAATTTTCGACTTGATGCTCCTTAACTGTGATTGCTTGTGCAAACTTATGACCGGGCTTGGTGCTATTATGATAATAGTAATAACAATGGTAATAGTGGCCCTATTCAACGCGGTACATTTGATACAATGTTCACTGTGTACAATTTTTCTAATAATAGCTCTCATCCACTTCTTTAAGTGCGCTTTCGCGGGCTGTTGGTGCGTTAGTCCCCTTAATCAGATTCAGATAATAAGGATAGTAGGGTATTGTGGCCTTTATTAATCCTTGCGATATGTATCTCTGCAGAGATATAGTTTTTTTTTGAAAGCGTTCACCGATAGAGCTGATACTACTGAATCAGATAAGGAGTTCCAGTCGTTGACCACTCTGTGAGAGAATCTAAATTCTGCACGTATTTTAATCGTCCTCGTTTTGAGCACTTTCTTGTGGTGACCCCGTAAATGTATCCTAGAGGGAGAGAAAAGGCTAGAAAGGTCAGCTCCTAAATCACCCTTTAATATACGGTATGTTGAAATTAAATCGCCTCTCTTCCTTCAGTATGATAATTGGAAGAGATTTAAGTGCTCCATCCTCTTATCATAAGGAATGCGTGAGATGCCACTAACTAATTTGGTTCCTACCCTCTGTACTCTTTCCAGGATATGTGCCTCCTTCTTGAAGCATAGACTAGCCGCTTGTATGCAGTATTCTGGATGAGGTCTGACCTACATTGTATAAAGTACTTTGAACATAGACTCACCTAATCTTTTGAAAGCTCTTCGGAGTGCCCATAACATTCGAAAAGCCTTAGCTGCGGCCGCATTGCAATTCGCAGTTGTTTTCAGATGTTCGGACAGCCAATCTCACTCCTCCACTACTGATCTACTAGTTTGACTCACCTATGTACGTAGTTGACCTCACTCACAGTCATTGCAAGGTATTTTGTAAATTGTATTATTTTGTCTGATTGAGTCAAAATACAGGCTCCTTCAACCTACCTACAGAGCTTGTCCTACCTGAGTGAGTGAGTTTGTAGGTTTGAATGCCAGCACGATTCTAATACTTGCTTTATTGAGAATCCCACTACCCTACGTAGGGAGTGTCTCAGATGTCTCCTCTCTCCTTAAATGGTGAAACTACTGTAAATGACTTATATTCTGTCTTATTTATATTATCACTATTAGTTTCACCATTATTTTTACTTTTATTTTGACCTTTCCTGATCTTCCTAATGAATTTTATAAGATAGTTAGTTATTCACCACCAACCAGCCATTCTTCTGTCTGTTTCAGTTCATCCTTTGGGTGTTTTGTTGTACTGCTAAGTAATGTTGTTGCTCGGTGTGTTAGACACTCAGCTAAGCCTTCCTTCGCAGACAGATAACGAACAGATGAGATGAGTTACAGTCTAAATATCCATTAGCAGAATACATTGGCTTTTAGTAATCGCTAGTGTACATGCCATTTTCCTTGTTCTGTTCGTTTTATTTTACAGTCGAACACCATAGCTAATTCTCCTTGTTCATTTTCTGATTCCCTTTACTAGTGAGTTTATGTATGTATGTGTGTTTGTGAAGAAGCTTGGGAGAGATATGATCTTTTTTTAACACTGTGGAACTGTCATCCACATATCTCCACTATATTTCGGAGTAAGATTAAGTGAATGTATTAAAAACAATATTTTTCCAACTGTCCATAAAGATATCTGCCGCGATAGGGGATATGAGTGATCCATCCCATTGATACACCTTCTGTTTGTCTATATATTTTTCCCTTGAATTTAAAGATAGTAGATGTGACGCGTAACTGAATTCCTAAAATAATTTCCTCAATGGGCAGCTTCGTCCTATGAGTAAGTTCAGGATCTGCAGTTGTTGTAATTCCAAGGTGTCATTTGAGTCACAAGAATTCGTTGCATAATAATTCCTTCAATATTCCAGTCTTCCGGAAGAATTTCTCTCTGAAACGATATCTCTACGGAATTAACACAATGATAGTCGCAAAGGGATATTTAATTAAGCAAATTTGTATTGTCTGCTAATCTCTTGTGGACTCTATCGAAAGTATAGAGCTAGTTAATGCAATGCGTCGGCGACACAGCAATTAGGACTCTCGTCGACCGTGCACATCGTCCGGGGTTCGATCCCCTGCCGACGCACACCTGCAAAATTTGGGCTACCGATATTACATGCTGAAAATTCCATACATGTACCAAAAATACGGTGTGGAATCAAGCCATAATCAAAAAAATATTGAAATAAGCGATGTAAGCATGAAATTCACTCACATTCAGTCGACAAAGATATAACCAAGTAGATGGTGAATTATCCTACGGAATGGAATTAGTAGATGGAATGGATACAGGAGCCACAAGTTTTTGTTAACCTTTTTGAAAGAATCCTAATCTGAATGTGTATTTGTCCATTGTATAGTTGGATTTTATTGTCAACTTTACAACCCCACTTCATCATCAGGTGTTAGTCATTGCATCCCAACCAATAGCTGTTGAGCACTTCACTTATTTAGGGGAAGTTGCATCAGCTAGCGCCAGCAGGTTGGTTGCTGACAAAATCTCAGCTTGGTACGGATACAGAAGACTCATCTTGCATAGGCCAACTTATTCCATTTCTGGCTTAGTACACGTGATATCTGACTGACTGGCTGTCAAACAAAGGGTATGTGTACTACTCAGCAGTTCACTCTGTCCTGCTTTATGGCTAGCTGGCTACGTGAGACATAGCCATTGAGAGTGGAAGACATGAAAAGCCCCGCTGGTTAGCTGTCTTTGATCACAGATGCCTACGTTCGTTCTATCATCCGTGTTATGTGGTGGTAGTATAGCAGAGTGAGCATTATTCAGGTTAGGCGTCGGTCGAGTGCTAGGTATGTGTGAGGGGAAATCAGTCGACGAGGTTGTGCAGTTAAATCGATTGAGAGAGATGGTTAGGACATGTGTTACGCATGTATGCCTAGCCATCGCCTTCCTCAACAATGGTCAATGTTAGCTGACATAGGTGCGATCAGGTTGAGATAGAGCCAGTGGTGGTGGTCAAACTAAAAACATGGCTTCAGCAGTCAATGAAATCCACAGCAATTAGTTTAAGCCTCTTAGGAAGGTGCAGAATTCCTGGTTGGAGTCCTCAGGACGGTAAAAGCCAATGAAGGCTTGAGACAATCGGTGAAATGGCTGGCTCAAAGTGATCGTTCTCAATGGCGCAGATGCATCCACTCCTTGTGACTTATAATACTCAATAAAACTATATTTTTCTTCCATATTACTATTCTTTTTCCCTCATATCTCTGTTTATTATCTCTATTTTGTATTTCATTTTACTTTCTTCTGTTGCTTTGTTTGTTACATAGAGGGAGTGTGGCAACTGGAACCGCTGCTATATATTGGTGCAAAGTTGCATTTTGAAACCAGTTATTCACCCGATCGATAGCTGTTACCCTGACGTGCTGGTTGTAGTCGGGCTTGCATATCGCGGAATAACCCAACAAGCTACACTGACTGGAACTATTGTTCCTGCAGGTCCTATCATACCAGGAAGGTTGTTGTAGGATAGCGATCAGACTTGAAAGCAGTTACTGACATAGTGTAAGATGCCGGTGCTTTTTACACTATGCTTGGGAGTCTGTCTGTGGGCGAAGCCATACTACTGCTAGGGAGTAGGGATGTAACAGCCGCAGTAAGGTGTTTCTCTCACTCAGGCGACCAGTAAGCAGGGGCGGGGTTGAGAAAAGGTCGTCCCCAACAATTATAAATCTCGACTTACCCCACCTACAATGGTGGTGGTCCGTAACTGGCAATAAGTTTACTAATATGTACGGAACGAATCCAAGAAATCAGTCATTGTATCGCTAAAATTCCTACAACTTTATAAAAAAAACTAAAGCCTTGTATATTCAATCTCCAATGGATAGGTCGATGTTTGACGTGCTACTACCTTTGGTTGTTGGATTGATATGGGGTAGTACAAATATCGCTATGAAATGCTACTCTAAGGCGAAACTCAAAGTAAGATCCCTAAACAAATAAACTTAATTATTACTTTTTAAAAAAAATAGTGTTTTGCATTTTTTCTTTTAAACCAAAGTGCTTCTGTACTACTCATGTTTGGATTTAAATATACACGTAAGTGTTTCGCAATTTTTTAAGAAAGTTTTCATTTTAGACATCTAAAGAATTATCAAAAGGAGTGGCTATTGCAAATTCAACAGCTTTATTCACATCTGCACTCACGAGTTATTGCCTTTGTAAAGAGAAAATTGGTTGGAGTGGTACGTCTATCTGTTTTGTTTGTTTGTGTGTCTGTGTGTGTTAATTATCCTGTATACAAGATTTCGTCATGAGCAGTGATATTGGTTAGTGGTTGGAGAATCATTGGAAAATCTGTTTCCTACGTCCTAGTGCTTGAGACTGACTATTTTCCGCTGTATGTCGGGGGTATTAGGACATATACTCCCCACCAGTGGCGATATTGGCTAGTGCCAGTCGCCTTATATCATGCGTGTAATTGGCAGAATGTGGAATTCATAGACTGGTTGGCTGGCCGGCTGGCGATTGGATCGGGTCCTAGTGAGTGAGTGACAGAATAATTGGTCTACGAGCTAGCTCGCTCGCCTTGTAACCAGAAGGTGGTCCTGGGTTCGAACTCAGGCAGTGGGGTGGGTGTGTACATACTGCTGAAGAGTCAGTCCCAAGCACTAGGACGGAGGAAAAAGCTGTCTGGCAGTACTCTGACTGACTGGTTTCAACGTAGAACTTTGCACCAGTTGGAGTCGCCACACTTCACTTAGTACACAAAGCAAGAGAAGAAAGTAAAAGGAAATGCAAAATAGAGACAGTAAACAGAGATATGAGGCAAAAAGAATAGTTGTAATATGGAAGAACAATATCGGTTTATTGGAAAGTATAATTCACAAGGAGTGGATGCATCTGCAGCAGCCAGCCATTTCACCAATTGTCTCCAGCCTTCATTGGTTCTCACCACCATCCCGAGGACCCCAACCAGACAGGCAGTCAGTCAGGAAGTCTACACCTTCCTACGTGGCTGGCTGGCTGTTTAAACTAACTGTTGTGGATTTCATTGACTGATGATGAAGCCATGTTTTGGTTTGACCGCTACCACTACTGGCGAATTCTTTTCCAACCTGATCCATCCCATGTCAGTCAGGTAAAATTGCCCATTGTCGGTCGAGGAAGGCAATGGCTAGTCATGCATGCGTAACACATGTCCTAACTGTCTCTCAATCGATGTAACTGCTTCACAGCGTTGTTTAATGACTTCTACTTCTCACCTAGCGCTCGACCGCCGCCTAACCTCAATATTGTTCACCCTATTATACCACTACCTAACACGGGAAATAGAACGCAGGCACCACCTATGATGAGAGACAGCTAGCCGGCCTTTTCATGTCTTTCACTTTCAATAGCCGTGTCTTACAGCCTGCCAGCCAATCATAAAGGAGGACGAAACGAACTGCTGAGCAGTACACACGTCTTTTGGTCGATAGCCGGATATCACGTCTACGCTAGAGACGGCGTAAACTGGTATGTGTAGAATGAGCCTTCTGTGTATTCATACCCAGCTGAGATTTCGTCAGCGACAAACCTGCTGGCGTTGGCTGATGCATTCTCCCAAATAAGTGAAGTACTCTCCCTGTGGCAGGTTTTCCAATGGTTTCTTAACCAACCGACATCAGTGCTCATGATGAAATCCTGTAACCAATTAATCAATCAAACATAATCCCTACAAACCAATACTTGAACGTTTTATTTATTTATTTTTTTATATTTTTTAAGGGACTGCTGGAGTTTTGTTTATATGCATAGGAATTGGACTACTCAACGACTAATATATATATGTAATTCTCTTTTTGAGTAATATGCATTGATTTATATCCTGATAATTGTTGAAGATAAGAATACTGAAGGTTATATTATGTAAATATTTTTATATATACATTGAATATAAAATAAAAATAAAATTTTATTCATAAAATAAATATTGTCTCTAGATAGGTTATTATAATATTATTATTCCCTTGGGTTCTGAGTGGAACATAGCACTGGCTTCAACAACACCACATCTCCACTGTGTTCTATTTTTTACCATCCTCTTCAACCGGCTAGCTCCACGATTGATTGCCCATAATTTCTCATCTTTTCCTCGCCATACGATCTCCTCCATGCCACCCTAGCACTAACGACCCACTCACCGTTACTGTTATAACTGCACTGAACTGAATGAGAACTGTAGTCACTTTGTTCTGTCTGCGCCTGCCTAATTTACCTATTTGCCCATTGTGTCTTCCGATCCACTGAGCCACGCAAATATCAAAGGACAAAGGCTGGCCTGTGACTGTATATTGTAATAACCATTATAAGGAAAACAACACATGATATTTATACATTTTGACAACAATAAAGACAGCTAGCAGCGTTTGAAATAATTGATCGCATAATCAATCACAATATGCGTGAGAAATGATGATATACCCCCGTAGAAAGTGTAAGACTTCCTTTCTGGATCTGGTTGGAGAAGTTTTGATGTTCCGACCAAAAATAACTCTTGCCTGAGATAACTTATTTGAGGCAGAAGTATTGGGTGTCATATGATAAGGCAGCGAAAATCTGTCTAAGATTTCTCTCACTACTCCCTCCCCCTTCGCTTTCTTGAAAGCACGCTTAGAGGTATTGATGAAGCGTTCACCTTGATTGGGGGTGATGCCGAATTAGGCGTTTAGGATGGAAAACTAGCTCATCGCCCGGCTTCAGAGTCGAAGATATTTGACTAGCCTGCGGCAACTAAACTTTGCCCGGAAGGCTGGAGGATGCTTTTGACACAAGTGTTGCAACAGAGGTGTATTTGAAGCATGACTTGAAATGATATCATTTGATGAAGGTGACATATTAAAGCATACCGAATTTAATGGAACATTTTCTAACCATTCAAGATCGGGTAAATTCAATTCATGATGGTTTGCGAGATAACATACACCATTGAATTGATACTCACCGCACTGAACATGGCAGCTGATCTCACGCATGAGTTTTAGCTCATCTCCAGAAGCATTCTTAGCGATTCGCTCAGTCTAGAGAATCTGTGGGTACTCAAGTGTGCGCCACGTGTTGCGCGAAATTAGGGTGATATCTGATGCTGTATCCAACTGAAGACGAATAGGTCTGCTGTTAGTAGATATGATAAGGTACTTTCGTCTACTGGCTAAATCGACTTTGTGCGTTGCGAAAATAGTCTGTACCCGAGGGAGTTGTTTCGGCTTGCTGGGACTACGTTTGTTTCTCACCGAAGTATTTTTCTTTGGTGGACAGTAACCCTCTTTATGTCCAAAACGGTGAAACTTGCGGCATTTATGTTTTTTGAAAGGACAAAACTTGACAAAATGCCATGTACCAGCACACTGATGGAATTTTGAGATTGACAGGCTGTGTGCTTAACGGTGATCGGAGGAGTTTTCATCATTGTGTTAGTTGAACTAAATTCAGACGACTGTAGCGTTTGACACTTCACCATAGCAGTTTCGTGTTTCAATTTGATGAAGCGTTGACATTCTGCCGTCATCATTTGTAAAGTCATTTTCGGGTCTTGTCTCACGAGTGACAGAAGTCGAGTTATTATATCGGCATCCTCTGGGTTCTTCAAACGACAAATAAAAATGAAACACTTGAACTGATCTGGTGTCATTTCGTGCGGTTTGAACCTTTCACATTCCTTGTTCACTTTGCCAGATTAAGTGACATAATCATCGGAAGGCATTTCTGTCAACTGAAAAAAACAAACATTGATACCGAATATTAAACATGGATGACTGCTCACCAGAAATTTTTTTAATAAAACGGTGGCTGTCTCATCGAAAGATAACTCACGTGGGTTCTTAGGCAGAATGAAATTAACATATCTGTTGTGCTTAACAGTACCAAGTTTTCGCAATAAAAATTCGGAGTTTGGCAGCATCATCAAACATGGAACATTGAATACGGAAAACGTCTTCATAACGAACGGTTGAAGCATACATATATCAAATACGAGACCAGATATTGGGTTGCGGTTGAACTCACTGATAGAATTTGAGATGCTGTCATATTTGTCTGAATGAGATGGAACTCGAAGGGACTTGAATGGACAGCTTCTGATTGAGAGCTTCGATTAATTTTAGTTGAGATTCTGAACTTAATGCTGTTGCAAGATGGATTTGAGATCACCTAACTGCTAGTCGAATGTGCGTATGCGTGTAGTGACATAACTTCCTACTAATTGGTTATGAGTTGAAATCTATTAGAAGGCGTTGGTTTCTAATAAATATTTCGATTTTAATTCATCTCATCCATTCGTTATATGTCTGCGAAGGAAGGCTTAGCTGAGTGTCTAAAACACCGAGCAACAACATTACTTAGCAGTACAACAAAACACCCAAAGGATGAACTGAAACAGACAGAAGAATGGCTGGTTGGTGGTGAATAACTATCTATCCTATAAAATTCATTAGGAAGATCAGAAAAGGTCAAAATAAAAGTAAAAATAATGGTGAAACTAATAGTGATAACATAAATAAGACAGAATATAAGTCATTTACAGTAGTTTCACCATTTAAGGAGAGAGGGGACATCTGAGACACTCCCTACGTAGGGTAGTGGGATTCTCAATAAAGCAAGTATCAGAATCGTTCTGGCATTCAAACCTACAAACTCACTCACTCAGGTAGGACAAGCTCTGTAGGTAGGCTAAAGGAACCTATAGGTTGGCCCAATTAAACAAAATAATATAATTTACAAAGTACCTTGCAATGTTCAAATGAACTGTCGTCAAGATTTGACAGAATAGTTCTAAAATATTTGGGCGCCGAGTGAGAAGTAGACATTTGTAAAAAATTTATATTTGTAAAGTCTCAGCGAGATTGAAATGAGTAATTCCAACGTTTCGTTCGGACCAGAGACTTTACAAATATAAATTTTTTACCTTTCAATGACTGTGAGTTAGGTCAACTACGTACATAGGTGAGTCAAATTAGTAGATCAGTAGTGGAGGAGTGAGACTGACTGTCAGAATACAAGAATTTAGCTCAGGATGGAGTGATCGATCCCACCCACGAAGATAATAATGATAATTTGCTTTATTCCAAAACATTACTTGTGATACAGAATGGAATTCTCAGCATTTCTACTACAGTATTGCATCCAGTTAGTACATTATCAATAAGTTAAATTCTACATAGATTAAGGAAATCTCAGTTCATTATGACAACAACATATTGGCATGTCGGTAGCAAAGCCAAAGTTGAACAGTGTTTGAAGGTGTTAGAAAAGTAGGCGCTGTCATATTTACTGGTGTAAGCGAGATAAAGAAACAAAGAAAAAAAAGAGAGAATAGAAAAAGAAAGAAAGAAAATGTTGTACCTATAAATGATATTAGTTGGAAAGACGAGGTCCAGTTGTACTACTGACTATTTAATGAATTATAGGTGTCACGCCTAATGCTTTCTTTATCGCACAGAACACGAGCTAAGTAGGGTATGGTTGAGTTTTTGTACTTGCTGGTGCGAGCATATAGTTTTCTATATAGGTTTCTGGTTTTGCCTGACGACATGCAAGGGGAGAGTTGTGAGTGAAGGGCGTGGTGTGAGTTAGATAAAATTGATTTGGCCCGTTTCTCACATGAGTCCATATGCCTGTCGACCAGAATATTAACAAGCTGGTTAAGTGGCACGTTGCTTACCCTGCTGACAACCTTTAGCATCCTGCGTAATATGTTATAGTCTTTCTTCAGTAGCCCGGGAAAAACTAATGGGGAACAATAGAGAATAATAGGCAGAATGTGAGAGTTAACGAATTGTAGGAGTAAGGGTTGGGTTATACCAGAATATTTTAACTTCTTGATGTAGAAGGTAAGACGGAATATTTTCTTAGAAATCGCCAAGATATGAGACGACCAGGAGAGATCAGCAGATAGAATGACGCCTAGGTATTTGATTTCCGACTTGGTTTCTATTTCAGTGCCGTCTATGTTGCATACCTCGTGAGAGCTAACCAGTTTGTTTAGGCCGGATTTATGCCTAAAGGTGAAATTGACTGTTTGGCATTTGGAGGGGTTTAAGGTTAGACCGTTAGACCACTGGCTGATTTCTGACAGAAAGCCATTAAATTTAGAGCAATCACTTTGACATTTGACAGGCAAAGATACCGTCAGGTCGTCAGCATATTTGACAAAATTAATGTCATTTGAAGATGGTAAGTCATGTAGAAAGAAAGAAAAGAGAAGTGGGGAGAGTACAGCACCTTGGGGGTGGGGGGCTACCAGCTTCAGTGAGCACAGCAGAGGAGGATTTACCTTCGTATACGGTGTACTGCATTCTGTTTGAGAAATATGAATGCAACCAGTTTGTGACCCATGACTCAATTTGTGTCATCGAGAGCTTATTTAGCAAGAGACATCTAGGTACAGAGTCGAAATCAGAAGTGAAGTCGAGAAACGTGCAGCGGACGTATTCGGCACCCTTATCTAATGATGAGACGATACTTTTGTGTAAGACGGCTGCAGCGTCTAAAGTGCTCCTACTCTGTCGATATGCAAATTGTTTGGGGTCTTCAAAGTTTTGAAGGGAGGGTTCAGGTTTAAGAAGCACTAGTTTTTCCATAAGCTTTAGAAACGGGGAAGTGATGGCAATGGGTCTGAACTTTACGTTCTTGCTGTTTCCAGGGTTAGGGACAGGGACTACTTTAATGTCTTTCCATGCATCAAGTACGACATTTTTGGAGAAAGAAGCATTTAGGATGTTATTTAATGGAGAACATAAAGCATCTGCACATTGTTTTAGAACATATGCAGGTATGCCATCAGGGCCAAGGCAACGTGAGGGCTTGAGCGTTTTAAGACATTTTAGAACATGGAGAGCATTAAAGTCATGAAAGTTATCAGC